AAGAAGATTACCTTCTGGAGGACTTTGTAGGAAGTGCCTTCCAAACGAGACTTGTTTTTGTCAGATAAACTTGCTTGGTCTCTTATTCAAGTTATACCGTTCATCTTGAAACAAAGCAAAAATTGATATCTCCCATGTAAGGAGACTTTTATTATTGTATTAGAATACAGCCAGCTCTCAGAGGCTGCTTAGTACTTGGGAACAGATCCAGAGAACAGTCTTACCTCAATCTATATCAAAACAGATTGCAGACTTTGAGTGGAAAGGAAGTTAGACTGATTCTTCTCAGGTTAATATTGGAGCTCAAGTTGAATATGTCCTAGGGTTTCAATGTTAGAGATTAATAAGGGCTCTATGATTTTAGGTACCCTTACTTTAAATAGGGATTTTAGGAACAGTAATTATAACAGTTAATAATAATTAACAGTGTTAATTATTATTTAGTATAAATCCTATCTTTTGCAGCTTATCCAAGTTTGGAATCCTGTGGAAAGTACTCCAAAGCACTTTTAACTCACAGAGCATAAACAAAGAGATTATATTAGCCATATAAATAATTAGTCATGTGTTAGCTAGACTGCAGAAGCTATTCTTGCTTTCATCGTGTGGCAAATGTGAAGGTAAGACCTGCAATGAAAGAGTGTCACTTAAAAGTGCCTTTACTTCATGTATGATATAAGCTAAAAATATATATGAGTCTAATAAAAATTCAACAGAGATGAACCACCTGACTGTTACTGAGCTGCATCACAAGTGTTTTAGTGGTATCATTTTAATAGTTGAGTCTTCTTCCTCTTTCTCATAACAATCTTCATCAGGACATCCAAATGACTCTGCCTCAGTCTTTTGGAATGAGAAGCATGGGGACATTTGAAGCTGCTCATCAGTTTTAATCAAAGTATTGTTTGATTTGTGGTGACAAAAGCAAGTTGTTTTTAAAGAAATTCTCGAACTCCACTCATTTGAAGTCTTTGCAGGGACTTAGCAGGAGGAGATCAAGGAAAAAAATTCATTTGAAGGGAATTACATGCAAATGTACCTTAAAACAAGACGTTCTTTGGAGAAATGCTGTGTAGTGCTTGCTGTGTTATTTGAATTTTCATTACAGTTTTGGTACTTATAAAATACATTCCTAATATAATTTTACTTTTTTTTTCCTCCAAAGTAGCAGGTATTTACTTTATCCCCTTTTTTGCTTTAATTCTATAGTGACTGGGACATCTAATGCTTACAGTGGCCTATATCTTGCAGTTATATCCACTGAAACAAAGCTGTAATTAAGGCATGCTTTTCTTAATCCTTTGGGGATTTTTTTTCTGTAATAGATTAACAGATGCTATAAATTAAGCCTTACTTTGGCCCACTTTGTGTTAGAAATTTCATTTTAGAGTTACTTTTTTAAACTTTCTGTGGGCTTCAGGAAAAAATTATATTAACTGAAATTTGTTGATACTTGTTTTAGAACAGTCTTGGGTTTTCCATCTCTGTCCACACATTGTTGCAGTCCAACTTGATCTGTTATTTAACTAGGACAAAATGTGGCAATCCTCAGTAAAGCGGTAGGTTGTCTGCCTGTTTTAATAGGTCCCACACAGCTGATGTTGTAATTGAGGCTTTTTTCCTTTTGGGAGAGATCAGTCTTTGTCTTCACGGAAAATAAGTGTAAAGTTGGAGTTCTTATTTGTGACACTCAAATGTGTGTTGCTGTGGGTGCATATGTGCTTGAGGTTAAATGGGTATATATGCATTTTTTTAAATGCATGAGGGTAAAATAAGGACAGTCTATCTTCTGTGCATTTCAACTGCCTTAACTCTCAATGGAATGCCTCTGCAACTTTAAAAATCAAAGACCTGATCAGCAAAACCTTTGTCCCGTTTCTTTTATCTCAGCTTTCTTATGCATTTCTCTGGGAACATTTAATCTTAAAATAGTGCTTGATGGATCAGGAGAAATAGGTGGAAAAAGTGCATCTCTTGGATAAATGTGGTATCAACTATGGACTTGGAGTATCCAAGACTCCTCTGGACTCTTAAAAATCATGGTTTTCTTGCTTTGAACAGTTAATACTAGGGCAGGTATTTGTGTTATTAATGGGGCTTGGTAGGGAATGGTTACTATTGTTAGCTGTGCTGAAGCATGAGATGCTGCAAAAGCCTTTGTCCGCCTTCACAGGACTGAAAATAGGGTTAGTAGATTGTGGGATTCTATAGAAACTAAGGTGGTTACTTCAATAATTGTAGTAGGAGTAGCCTTTTTGTTTGTTAGCACACAGTATTATCCTTAGAAGTCTCACTTCATAGCAGGGTTTGACACAGTCCATGCAGAATATTGAGAGGCGACTCATCTGTATTGTCATTGTTATATCTTCAGAGACTATCAGTGCTGATCAGAAAGCCTTGGAATTTAGCCAGATGAGTAATCTTCATGACAGTCCTTTGTTGATGCAGGATGACAGAATGGATGAGGTTTGAATGGATCTTTGGAGATAATCATGAAGTTCAACCTCCTTGGCTCAAAGTAGTGAAAATTGAAACAGGTGGTTTCTCAGGATTTTATCCAACTGGGTTTTCAATGTCTCCAAGGCTGGAGACTCTTCAGCGGCTTTGAGTGACCTGTTACATTGTTCAATAACCATTACATGAAATTAAATTTAAACCCTTTTTCAGTGTATTTCATTTTGTGCCCATTGCCTCTTGTCCTGTCACAGGACAGCAGTGAGAAGAGCTTGGCTCTGTCTTCTTTACTCCTTTCCCTCAGGTAATTATCTACATTTCATAAAATCCTCATGAGCCTTCTCTTCTCCAGGCTTAACAGTCCCAACTCTCTCAAGCCTCTCCTCATGTGAGAAATGCTCTAATTTGTCTGTCAGCTATATGGCCTTCTCCCAAACTATTTCCAGTATGGGCATATATCTGTTGTGCTGGGGAGCCCGGGACTCCAAATGTGTCTTACCAGCACCCATCACAGGGAAGGATCACTTCCCTTGAGCTGATGGTGATCTGGAGGCTGTTGTCCGTCTGTGCTGCAAGGGTGGGTGTGGCTGGCTCATGTTCCCCTTGTTCATGGGCCCTGTGTGTGCTGGTGCTTGCATTTTTTTCCCAGGAGTAGGACTTGGTACTGCCTTTAAACTTCCTGAGATACATGTGTTGGCTCACACCTCCTGTCCATTGGTGTCCTTGTGAATGGCAGCACATCCTGCTGGGCTATCAGCCTCTCCTCCTGGTTGAACATGCTGAGGGTGAGCTCTGTCCCATCATTCATCTTCATTAACAAAGATGTTAAATCGTCCTGCCCTGGGTATTGACCCCTGGAGTTCACCAGTAAGGCCAGGTGTCCAACTGGGCTTTGTGCACTGGTGACAGCCCTTTGATCCTGACACTTGAGGCAGTTTTCTCTGCTCTGAGATCCAGAGTTCTTGGGGGCTGCTCTTGGTGGTAACACAGAAGCAAAGGTGGTAGTGAGTACCTTGGCCTTTTCTGTGTGTCCTGTCAGCTGGTCCTCTGCCTAATTTAGTCATGGTGCCCTAGTCTTCCTGTTGCTGATGATATTTTTCCAAAACCCCATGAACCATTCTAGAACATTCTTGGTCCTCCTCCTTGCTTTGATCCTTCTTGGATTCCTGTGTTCTACTATGTCATTGTCATTGCAGCCGTGCCTTCCCTGACCTTGGCGTCACTGGCCAGTTTTTCCATGTTTGTAATTATGATGTTTAGCGCAAGTGAGGAAAGGGAGGCGCAGAAGTCTCTGCTTGCATACACTATTATTGTGTATTAAAATGATTCAAGAAGTTGCTGGACAGCCTGTTTAATTTTATTCCTTTTGACATGCATGTCTCAACAATCATTTCCTCACAACCCTGCTTTTGGTCACTTTCTCTTTTAAGTAAAGCCTTATTTAAGTTTGTTTCCCCCTCTCCCCCTCCACCTTGCTTTGAAGGGTTATAGAGAGCTCTCACTATTATCATATTTAGTTCTTCTCCCTTCAGGCTTCTTAAAATTTTCTCTATATATTCCACTGCAGTCTGTATCTCAGAACAAAATATTTGTATTTTTGTTATACAAGACGGTTATTCCCTCCCATCATTTCCTTGTTTATCATTCGTTGACAGCCCATAGTTTTGATATCAGTACTTCAAAACTAATTTTAAATTGCTGAAGCAAAACTTGAGAGGATCTTCCATGACTGAACATTTCACCAAGACAGTGCTACTTTTTTCCTTAGATGAGTATTTAACTTTGTCACTGTTTGAAATCCATGGTCACAATTTGGGTAAACTAGCAGCACATTTTTTTTTAAACTTCTAGTAGTTTTGTATCTTAATGATATGTTGCTCTTTTGTTTAAGGATAAGGTGCTTCAAGGGACAGTTGTTTTTAAGTGGCTTCTCAAAATCAAAGAAAAATCAGAAATTAATTTCAGAAGCCACTCTGCATCTCTTGTCTTCAAGTCCTAGTACTGATAATTTTACTCTGTCTGAGATTGGACAGAATGCTGGGCAGGGAAGTCTGTCTTAGGCTCATTGTCTTGCAGTTGCCACAGTGGGGGAGGATTGAAAGGTTTTCCAATTGCCTTTATTTCAGTGACCTTTTCCAAGTTGGGAGTAGGAGTTGACTAGGAAAAACCTAAACAGTCATTTCTCTTCAGTGAGAGAGACTCAGTTTTCTCTTGAGTTTTGTAAGCTGAAAAATAAATTGAAATTGAGAAGATAATATTTCCTATTTTCAAAATGCCATTTCTGCAAATCTTTGACTTATTGAGCTTCCCACACAATTCATACTTGGAATTTATTAAACTGCTGTATGTGAAGACTCCTGTGTTTAATGCTTCCAGCAGCTTGCATAAATGAGGTAGAATAAAAGTTCAAAGTAATGTTAGCATGTGAAATGTTAACAAGTAAAAGCATGAAAAGATTCTTTAACCATTCACAGGGACTTAATTTTCATTATCTGCTTAATGCAGTGACTGTAGTTTCCACAAACTCTGTTTGCTTGCTCTTTCAGGCTGAAGGTTTGGAAACGGATGTTGGAAGATGTTAGCTGTGGATACTGGGGTTGTGGAGGAGTGGTTATCAGAGTTTAAGGTAATACATTCTCATATATTTTGTCAGTAGTGTTTGAATTGCTGCTGGAGCAGTATGCAGGACTGCTTGATTCCTATAGAAAACAAAAAAATAGTAACCTTGGGTTTTGCTCAGATCGTGTGATAAATACAGATGTCTGCTTGAAAAGATTTTTTTATTTCCTTGCCTCCTGGAGGATGATATACTTCCTGATACAGAGCAGTGAAAATGTGTATCATAGGTGAATGGTTTTGTTGGTTTGAGTACTAGACTTGACTATAGGTTTGGCTACTGGTCTGCTTAGGTACACTGGGAATGTGTTTTCCTATCTGTATAGTGGAGTATAATCTCCTTTGAAGGACTACAGGTAAGTACTGTAAGAGCTATGTTAAGTTTAAATATACAGCTTCCAAAGGGCTGTTAAAAATATTAGATTTTTACCTTCTTAAGTACTGGCAGAAAATACGTTTAGTGTTAGAGAAGAGCTGTTTGCATTAACTGGAATTTGTGTTCTTGCAGAGTAAACTGTATCTGGTAATAATGTTCACTGCTTGTGTACAGTCAATCTTGAGAACTCCTTGAAGTATGGATCTGAAAACTGTTAAGTTTCATGGTACTGACATTTCAAGTGAAATTTCAGTGAAGGTTGCACTTCTGAAACTCTTGGGTTTTTAATCTATTTTGCCATCCACTGTCATTACATTCTGTATAAAACTGCAAAATGATAGAATGCAGTGTGTCTTCTGGCAATGATTTCCATAGTAAGGATTTCTTTACAAGACAAGTTTTAGTTTATAGTTAAACTCTGATAAATAGTAACTTGTAATGAAAAATTGTTGTGGAAATAGCTGTTATATTTTAGTGATAAAATTGCTTATAATATTTTTATTTCAGACACTGCCAGAAGCATCCATATCCAGCTATGCTGCCAGTTTGAAAGACAAGACTGCTTTGATTTCATCTCTTTATAAAGTAATTCAGGATCCACAGAGTGAAGTAAGTATATTGGATTTCTCACCCAAAATGTCTGGCACAATGCTGTCAGAACAAAAATAAGACCTTGCATGCTAGTTAATTGTGTTCTAACTACATGAACTACAGAACTACATGAAGAGTTTCCTTCAAAATGTTTGTTCTTAGCAATGACATACTATCATGGAAAAAGAGAATCATAAGTTTTGTAACCTGATCATAGCTGAATTTGTAGATCCCACTCATGGACTTCAGGACTTGGATATAGAATTGAGAAATATATTAAGGAATTGAAGAGATGTTTGAGTCTGACAGAATTCTTTCTGTAATTGAATGTGAATCTATAGATGTCAGAAGCTTGTCTGTTACAGCCCAAGAGAACAAAGATAGATTTGTGATCCTTTTGTTGTTGTTTGAAATACATACAGTATAAATACATGGACTTATAAATTGGATGTACCCTTGCTGAAATAATGGAAAATATGAAAAAAATTGGGGGGAGGGGGGCAGATTTGCACAGTACTTGTACCAGGATAGGTTCCATATCCCATTACTACCCTTGTTTTAATGTGTCTGGGTGAATTCAGAACATACTGAGCTGGGATTAGCTGTGTGTTGACTCACTTTCTATGGTCCAGCAAACCTTGTGTGTATTATTTTAAGATTGCAACAAGTCCTTACTTCCTCTTCTGAAAAGGCCTAGCAATAAGGCACCTTTTCAAAGTTTGAGATTATGCCAGCAATAAAGGTGAGAGGATAAAACACTTTCAGTATATACATTTTAGAGAGAATGCTCATAGTGAAACTCTCAAGTTGTCCAGCAAAGAAGAAATGTAATTTTTCTTTGCTGCTCAGAAAGGCATTCTGAGTTATTCCAACTACTGAGTCAAGCCTGTCTGGTCTTCAGAATGCATATCAACATGTAAATTAATCTGTTGGATCTCCCGGTTGATAGCCAAATTAATATTTTCATATGTTCTTTGATTTCTTACTACTTCTGGCTATCGCTAGGTTTCTCAGGGACTTTAGTAACAGGGTGCTACTGCAAATTCTGCTTGAAAAGGTCGTTGGGATAATTCCAGGGGCAAGGTATTGAGGATTTCCTTGTTAGTGAGACTTTGAATAAAAATGAAAAACCAGTGCTGACACTGTGTTGTGCTGCCTTGGTAAAAAGTTCTAAAGTCTTCATTTGGACCGTTCTCCAAGTAGCTGTCCCTTTGTGGAAAGGGTTACTTGGAACTTTCCACATTGTGAAAATAATTACGAACTAGCAGTTAAAAAGACAAGTAATATTTTTCAACTGTTATTTGAGATCTGTTAGCTGCATTGTGTAATGGCATCTTGCTATACAGTGTGGGGTATGTGCTGTCCTTTCTTACCTCACGTATGTAATGCAGGGGGGGAGGATTAATGCATGAACACTACAGATACTGCTGAGATTTAAAAAGGACAAACAACCCCGTTTGTACACCTTTGTAAATATGTACTTCTAATATAATTGTCAGTACTGTAAAATTGTGAATTACCTTGTTTTGGGGAATGGATGTATTTTTTTTTTTTAAGCATTTGAAAAGTAATCACATGTATTTGCATCCGTAACTGCATTTTCCTGTTGGTTCATGTTGGCTTTTCATATGGGTTATTTTGGTTTGCTTTTCCAAAAATTAATAATCCATTTTTGAGCTAAATGAACTGCTTGTTCAATATCCACTTCATAGTAGCTTTGTTAGTAAAGACTTTGTTATTTACGTTTGAGCTCCTGGACCACTGCTAGGTGAAAAATGTAATTTCATAAAAGGAGAGTCTTCAGTAGACGTGAAGATTTAAAAGACTTCTAATTGACTCAAAACTCCAACAATAATAAATAAATATGTGAGGTTTGTTTTTTCATTGGCACTGTCCTTTTAGATAGGAGCCATGCAGACATTTGCATTAGGAAATAGTTTTTGGAACGTGTGACACATTTGGAAGCAGCTTAAAAGGAAGAGGGATGAAATTGCTTGGACATTTTGTTCCAACACTAAAATATTTTTCAGTCTAGATACTTTTTAGGAGTGCTTGGTGGAAAATGATATCTTGAAATGGCAACAATCATTAGTGCATTTTGATATTAGGTTGTAGCATGTGGTGGCATTTCGAGGAAGAAAATCTGGTTTTGTACTGATTAGGCATTTAAATGTGCTGAAACAAAGCTGTCGCAACAGAGATAACGATGTAAACATGGATACCTGTCATAGTTATTTATGTGCCTTTTAAATTTCAAGCACATCATTCAGAACTCAGATTTCATTATGGGAAGGAAGCAAATTATGGGCAATATGTATGCAAATTATGGGAGATATTTAAGCTGAAGATGGACAGTAGTTCTGCTGGTAAAGTTTTCTAGAAAGATCTTTGCTATACTCTTAAAACTGATGACTAGTTCAGCTTGGCATGGCTTTTTTCCTGTAGATTTTAGATTACTTACAGATTTTTCACATATGATTTTTCCAAAGTGAAACTATATCTGTCAGAAGCTAAAAGTTCCTCCTTTTTTTGAATGGATGAGATTGTCCCAAATTACTTCTTAAAAAAGAACCAAAACCTGCTAAGATCTTTCAGTTTCAGAAGTAATTTTATGAGGTAAGAAATGTTGACTCAACTTTTTGTTCAGGAGGAAAAGCTTAGGAAAGCAAGCAGATTTTTTTCTAGCATGATCTGGTGGTTTTGCCTCCTTTGCTGCAATATAGGGCAGAATATAGAATTGGGTTTCTTACTTTTCTGAAAACTTGTTCCAATAAAACTGAAGGTGTGACCTAGACAAACAGCAGAAGAACTGAATTTAGTAGTTCATCTGGCTTTGAAAGTGCTTACTGTTTTCAACAGTATTTTCTACTTGGATTAGGAAATTTCTTGATTTCCATACATTGACGCATGATGGTTAACACAATGCTGCATCCTATAGCAGAGGTAGGTGGTAGCACAAGAATGCATATTAAATCAAGACATACAATGCAAGCTGATTGCTTAATTGTTTTTAAGTCTTTTTTTAACTTGAGCTAGCTCAATGTATTACTTGCAGTTCAGTATATTACATCCAGCGTAACAAATTTGATTCTAAAAATTCTCTTGAGGCTTCCCACTTCTGTCTCAAACGTATAAATACATGGAAGTTTCTAGAAGATTTTAATGAGAGTGGGGAAATTACTTAGTTATTGTAATGTTTGGAATTTAAGTGTTACGCAGCTTTTCTCACTAGGTGGGAAAAAGCTTCCAGCAATTGGTGTGTATGCTCGTGGAGTTCTGGAATAGCAAGACCTTTAGTTCAGGTACGTTTCCTGTAGATTAAAGATATTGAGAGCATGGTATGAGGTATGTGATAACAAGTATCCTCTAGTTATGCCTTTGAGGCCAGAGGAAGTGAGCAAAAAATGAACAAAAGCGGCCATGGGAATTCTTTCTGCATGTGGGATGGGTGGCTCTACGGTTATCATCCAAAAGTATGCTATAAGGATGGAAATTGTGTAATGTGAGTCGGACAGTTATTGCAAGCAGTCAGTTATTGTATCAGTCATTGCCTAATAAGTAAAATGGAATATCTAACAGTTTACATTTATCTAAAGGACTAATCCAGACAAAATTGCTGATTCTTGTAATGTTTTATTCATTCCCACTTGGAACTTCTGTTTCAGCTTCTGGAGCCGGTTTGCCATCAGCTGTTTGAGTTCTATCGCAGTGGTGAGGAACAGTTGCTACGGTTTACGCTGCATTTTCTGCCAGAATTGATGTGGTGCTATCTTGCTGTCTCAGCCAGCAGAGATTTGCAGAGCAGTGGGTGCATAGAGGCTCTTCTCCGGGGAGTTTATAACTTGGTCAGTATTTGTATGTAATTCAGGCCTAGAATATTAGTGTGCTTCCGGGGATACCGTGGAATGTTTTACTAGGGAATACTTAACAGTTTTGTTTCAGAATTGAAATGAAGTGATTGAGTATTGCGTTTTGACACTTCAAATGGGTGTCCGCGTCAGAAATCTGCAACATGAGCTTTTATATTCTTTGGTCAATGTTTTTTCTGTTCTTTCTGTGGTTCTTAAGTTTTTTGTTACGAATTTCTTTGTGTGGTTAGTAAACTCACATTCTGCTTGAGAGCTTTTTGAGTCACTACTTTTGAAGTGGTTGCCCATATTTTCCGCAGTATTTTGACTATCTTGACTAAAACCACAAAAAACCCTAACTTTCAACAAAGTCTTAGTATTTGACTGCTGAACAGATTACCTTGCTTTTAGAAATTAAAGGTCTCCATTTTGAAATAACTTTGACATTTTGAAAATATTTTATATGAAAATATGCTATTTGTTGCTAAATTAATGCTATGAAGAACAGAATTAATAAGGAACCTCGAAGAGCCCCACATTTTAGTATTTTTATGGTTATTATAAAAAACTCAGTGTAATTATATCCACTGGCATTCTTGTCAGTGTAGTTTGTATGTTCTGGATGTTCTAGGAAGGCTTTTTGGGAAGTGAAAAGAGTGATGAACTTGGTCGCTTCTTCCCATTCTGAAAATCTGGAGAAGGTGGCTGCTATCATCCTTCTAGAAATAAGCACAAGTGTCTTTACCAAGCAAGTGAAAAACCTTTTTTCACCCAGGAATCCATTTAAAAAGACCTGAGCCCTTATATTCTACACATCTTTAGGTGTAGAGTACAGGCTTCGTCTGCTTTCTGCGTGCTTAGTTGTATCTGACAAGAACACGCCTGGAAAGCATTTGATGTGTCTTATGCCTTAAGTCCATTCCCTCCTATGTTTCCATTATGAAGTCATCTAAAATGGTTGATGGATATGGCTATAATCACTTGTTTTTCTCCCAGAAGAGATTACATTTGCCGTTAACCTTAAAACCAGTTAGTCCAGTAACATCTTCTCTTAGCTATGAACAGTTTCTTTCTCAAGTAGTAACTTAGCTCTCCATCTCCAGCGGCTTGAAGTTGTAAGAATTTTACCACAAGCTTCTGTAGTAAGCTGTAGATCCAGGTGGCTTTGGGAAACTTTTTTCCTCTCCTTCTGCTTTAAGACAGAATGAATGCTTATGGCAAAATAATGCCACGTTACTCATATAAAATTTTTAATTGAAACAATCAAGATGGTGTTGTTGTTCAGTATACAAGATTGAAAAGGTAGTCCATGACCTGCTTAGATACTTTTTTTCTCTTTACACGGCTGCTTTGTGTGCAAAAACAAGAGGAAATATGTAACCTAATACAAATAATAATTCTTATGTAAATTATATATAGAGTGGCTTTTGGAAACTTGAGAGAATTAACATGTTCAGTAGGAATCCTGCAGTTTCTTACTGAAGGAAAATGAAAAATTAAGTATTGCTCAGAATAATTTTAAATTCATTCCGTTTTGAGGGGTATGGAATTACTGTGGCTGAACCTTGAGATCATGAACTGGTTTTTTTCTACCTTCAGCTTAGACACATAACAGTAGTAGTGCACATAGTTGAAATTTTTTGCTTTCCTGGCGGCCGGGTATCAGGGTTTTTTAATATGCTTCAGATCTTGAAATGTACTCCTAAAACTTAATTACAAATCTGATTAGAATGAAGAATACAAATATTGTTATTTTTGGATTTTAAAATTTTGGATGTGGCCAGCTTCTTTACTCTTCTCCTGTATATTGAGGAAAATGTTTTCCAGATTGATACAGAAGCAATATTGAAAACTAAAGTATAAGTGGAGAGTGGAGGAGCTGTGTAGCTTTTCAGAAGGAACAGCTCGGTATGCCTTTTTGATACTTTTCATTCTTCATTTAATGCTTCATATTCTACTTTTAAGACATAAGTTTTAATTTATACTATGTGAAGTCGGTCCTTCAGCCTTCCAAGGCATATAGGTGATAGGAGACACTGAAGCTTCTCTCGAATTCAATACTTCTGGATATGTGGAATCTACTGCTGAAATTTAGAGAAGAAGAAATAAAATCTTGTGTGTGGTGTTGGTTATTGATCAAGCCTGCTTTGGATCTTCCAAAGTTTTTTACTTGAAATACTTCAGTGCTCGGCTGTGGTACATAACCACCTCTTGTTTTGCCTTACACATTGCTTTCTGTTAACTTATAGGAGTGAGAAGTCTGCCAGCATAGTGCGAGGGTTGCATCTTTCAAGACAGTAGCTTCTCCAGGGCTTTGCATCCATGCTTCTTTTTATTCCATACTTACAGAGAGAGTTAGCAGACTTGGCTTTTTGAAATGCTATGCTGTCTGCTGTTGTCAAACCATATGAGGCTGCAATCATTCATTCCAGAGCTGTAATATTTCCAAGAACAAATTACTCGTAGAGTCATTACTTGATGGTTAAATAGTTTTCAGAACAGAATTACTGAGCATTAACCTTTACAATTAGCAAATAGTGTATAATTAAAAAAAAGATAAGGCGGTTGAAACATGCTGAGATTTCCTGTTACTGTTTTTAAGGTGGATTATGTATGCAAAATGCATGGGCCCTTTGCTAAGTCATTTGAATAGTTTTCAGAAACAAACCAAATGCACTGTGATAGAAAGCAAATAGATAATTTCTAGCTTGTAGCTCAAATTTTTATAGTATCCCTATCTTTCCCTATAATAATATTTAACATTTTTGGGTGTCTGGTTTCTGCAGTACTGGTGTAACCATTGGTATTTTCTGTCTTGTTCAGGAGATAGTTGACAAAGAGGGACATAACAAAGTGCTGAGTTTCACAATTCCGTCTTTGTCCAAACCTTCAGTCTATCATGAAGTAAGTAACATACACAAAGTGAAGTTGTTATTGATTGGGAAGGTAGAAGGCTTTGAGGCCCTTTGCTAAGAATAAAAGTGAAAATTAGTTTTAGCATGTTGTGTGGTGACATAGGAACATGTTTCTCAGACTTCTGAGTACTGGTAACTGTCTCTGAGGCTTCTTCAAGGCTGAATAGTTTTAACTGCATAGTATCTTCGCACCAACTGTATCTTTTCTCTATTCTGAAACCTTATGCCTTATCTGGTGTAAAATGACTTCTCAAATCTAAGACAGCTAAGCAGTCAATTAATCTTAAGCCTGTTGAAAATTTATATACAAATATGGCTATGATGATCGTTGTCTATTTTTACTTGCATTATAACAAGATTTGGGGTGGACATGTTTTGAGTGACCTTTTTTTCTTTAGCCTTCCAGCTTTGGCTCCATAGCTCTCACTGAAGGAGCTTTGTCTCAGCATGGTTTGTCCAGGGTTGTGTACAGTGGACCTCATCCTCAAAGGGAGATGCTTACAGCGCAGAACAGGTGAAATTGCATAATAGGATTTTGCTTGAGAATCAATAATGGATCTTAACTTCTTCTAATTTTTAGTATAATTGTAGACTGAAGGTGGATAGGTGTTAAGCTGTGTTTTGTGGTGTGGTTTGTTTTGTTGTTTTTAAACGCATGTAAATGTAGATGCAGAAAGACGAGCAGGGCATATTACTACATGAAGAGGAAAAGCTGACTCAGTTGTCAATTTTATTGAAACAAAATACCAAATAGGTTTAAATAGGTCTTGGAAATTTTCATATAAACTTGTTTCCTCTCAAAAAATAAAATCGGTAATGTAATACTGATGTTTCTTATAAATCCCAGGTTTGAAGTGCTGACTTTCCTTCTGCTCTGTTACAATGCTGCCTTAAGCTACATGCCTGCAGTGTCTCTTCAGTCATTGTGTCAAATTTGTTCAAGGTAATTTCTGTAGGCTGTTTACACTTAAAATGGCATTTTCAACTTGCAATGCAATCAGTTTGGCTTTCTTTTTTTATGAAAACAAGCTTTGTGTTCCCAAAGGCTGCTTTTAAACGTGACTTCTTTTCATAAGTATTTACAGATGCATTATTTGCTTTCAAAGTAGCTCCTATATAACTTTGTTTTGGGATCTCAAAGTGGGGAAACAATAACCTGGTTTATATGCAGATTAAGCTACTCCCCTTAGTGGAGAGTTCAAATAAAATGAACTATTTGTTCTTAATAACAGCATTTGTAGTTGTGTTAACTAAAGAAAACCAGAAACGTCTTTTAAAAGTGTGGTAAATTTCACATTGCAAGTTTACTAAATATATTTGAATGCTCTTCAAGTTGAAACTTTCTTGGAATTATAGTGAATATTGAAACTAGAAATAAATCCATTTTTACAGATAAATTGTGTATTTCCAAAATCAGCTGTTGGTTTATAAAAAAAAAAAAGCAGGGCAAAAAAAAAAAAAAACAAACCCAAACCCTGAAGCAAAATGAAAAAAAAAAAAGCCCACCTCAGCTTTAATTACAGTGTCTCTTTTTTGATGAATTTATCTTTTCAAAGGGAAAGAACTGATAGTAAACATGTCTGTGTCTGGATTTTTGAAAGGACTTAAGGTTAAGGGAAAAATTAGAATGGTCTCCTTCTCTGGGAAACCAAAGAGACCTAAAGTCAACTACAGCACCTTTTTTCTAGTTCTAGTTCCTTGGTTCCTCACACAACCAAAACATGACAATGGATGTCTGTAAGATTTTCTCCTCTTCAGAGGAGGCCAGAGACTTTGGAGCACTTGGCAATATTTACAAGAGTTTTTACAAGATCTTTGATAGATAAACTGCTCTAAAATGTAAGGTAGAAAATATTTAGCAGCTGAGGATTGTGCAAAGGAAACTGTTGCTTATTCTGCTTGATTAGGTTTTGATTGTATTTGGAATAAATAATTTTTTGAAAGCCTCCAAAAGCAAGCTACCAGTAAATGCAAGCAAGTCTTCCTACTTCAAAATGTCTAATGTTTGGATCATCATCATGGCTGGGCTTCGTGAACGAAGATTTGGGAAGGCTCTATCCACATTTGTTACAAGCACGCTGGCGGCTAATGAGACCAATACGAGATAGGCATATCCGATTGCAAAAGGCACAGCAGAAAGACTCCTTAGGTTGTATAATCTGCAAGGCACGATTCTTTCTGCGTTGTCTTTTCTCCTCAAGAGTGATCCTGCGTGTGTTCTCAAAGGCATCAGCAACGTTATAGATGGTGTGTCTCCAGACCTCCCGATTGGAGGCCAGAGTAGACCAGTTATGGTGATCAATATGACCAAGGCTGAGATGTTGTTTCAGGGAGTCCTTGTATCTTTTCTTCGGGGCTCCTCTCATGCGGCAGCCGGAGGCAAGTTCACCATAAAGCAGGATCTTAGGGAAGCGGTGGTCCTTCATCCTTGAGACGTGCCCTGCCCAACACAGCTGTGTTCTCAGCAACATGGCCTCAATACTTGTGATTGCTGCTTGTTCTAGAACAGATGTATTGGTCACATAATCTGACCAGTGGATGGTTAGGATTGTCATTCATGTTTCTCTGCTTACTGAAAATCTCACCTTGACAGCATTTTAGTGATTCAAGGGAATATGTTTCAGAAGCTCAGAATATCTTTCAATGTCCTGTTTGGATGTGGTAGAATCAATATTCTGCTATTTGGCTATATAAAATAACTCCTTTAATTGGTTTGAGTGATGTCAAATTTAGGGGCTTTTTTTGAAGATCTGCAGTGAATGTGCTTTCTTCTAGTAAGTCTAATTGAATTTTTATGACTTTTCTAAAGAATCAAAATTATCTATTTCTTCTTATTTACAAACTGTAAATGTGAAAATTAAGCTGTATATGTGAAAATTACAGCACAAAATATTTTGTGCTGATCTCTAATTGTAAATCCAGATTTTTTGCATCTGGGCAGTTACTAAGTTTCTTTTCATAAGAACGTACCTTACTGTGAAGCTGATGTCATTCTAACCTTTTCAGAGAAAATAACTCAGGGCTTTTAAAAACTAATCAATACTGGAGAAGTATTGAAACTATATAAACTACAAAGATGGTTCTACATTATTTGCTAATGACAAATGCGTGATTTTTTTAGAATTTGTGTCTGTGGATATCCTCGCCAACAAGTGAGAAAGTACAAGGGAGTCAACAGTAGAATTCCAGTTTCATCTGAATTCATGGTGCAAATGCTAACAGGGATCTATTATGCCTTGTAAGTTGTTTTTTTTAATATGCATACAAAGTAGAGAAATGTCAGCCTAATTTCTATACTTGTTTAGGCATGCTACATTGGAGGTGTTTCATTTTCTAGTGGACAGATGCTGTGTCTAGCAGTAAGGTCCTTGGGAAGAGTCAGTTCTCCAGCTAGCTGGCGGAAGTTACCTGTGTCATACTGGGGAAGGATGACTAGAACAGCACTTGATAGTTGTAACTGCTGGTGTGAATAAAATATTTTAAAAAACCTTTTCCAACCGTTGTTGACTGTCCACAGTTCTGCATGTTTAGTTCTGGCATCAGTTGAGTTGAGGAAAAGAGTTTTTTTTTCCTCTGAAATGCTGATGTCATCTACCCTTTGATAGTCATGTCAATGTGTGAAGCTTTCTTGCTAACTGAAATAATTAGAGACTAGTAATACAGGGATACTCAAAAAGTGGAGGAATATTAGAAAATCCTGTTTGAGTTTCAGAATATTTCATGACTAGCTGATCAATAGCTAATAATAAAATTTTTAAACTGCTTGGCATGGCCAGTGAAAATAAAGCTTTGTCTCCATAGATGCTACTTCAAAGTTCTATAAATAGTTCATGCTAAAGAACGCAAGTAGTTCAAATCCTTTAAGTTGAGCTCTCAAGGAACACTAGATCTGTGAAGGTTATGTGACCAAGAAGGTTCATCTTATTACATATATATTTACCTTTGCAGTTATAATGGAGAATGGGATCTGGCTCGTAAAGCTATGGATGACATTTTGTATAGAGCACAGCTTGAACTGTATCCAGAACCTCTGCTGGTAAGTATTGTATTTCAACATTTTGTTGAGTAGAATTTTTAGTCTAGGAAATTCTTCCTGTGAACATGCATGATGCAACATCATACAGGAACTGATAAATCTGTGTCTGTGCTTGTGCGAGCAGCTCCGCCTGTAAGGTATTTTCAGTGTTACTATGTCGTGTTTCCTAATGAACAAACTATTTTCAGTAGAACACTTCTAAGTCTTCAGAACTTAGATAATAGCACAGAAGAACTCTGAAGTAATAGCCACATCTTTTAAATAGGCAGCTTTCTGTTTTAAAAGTGGCAAGTATTAGTTCTGAGAGCTGATTGCAGCCAGCATTCTTTATAATCTGCACAAGAAAACTAGTGTGCATTTTGACCTTAAATTGGAATTGCACACGGTATTCTTCTTAAAGTAGTAAGAATCCCTGACAGAATTCTTCTAAAATTTGGATCTTTGTGTTCAAAACTTAACTACATCTCTTCTGTTCTAGGTTGCTAATGCAATAAAAGCTTCACTGCCTCAGGGTGCCATGAAATCTAATAAAGAAGGTACAAGGTGCATTCAGGTTGAAATTACACCTACTTCATCCAGAATATCAAGAAATGCTGTAACTAGCATGTCTATCCGAGGGCATAGATGGAAAAGGCATGGTAAGAAACACACTTTGCAATGAAATCTCAACTTTTTACACATTTTTGAAATAATAATGAGAATTTTTTTATTTTGTATCTTCATTACTTGTAGGCAGGCAGCATTTGGGAAGGTTTTATTTTCTTGACTGGTGAATGGGAATCTCAACGCAGCTCAGTTGAAGTATAGTCTTTATTTCCTTAACCGTGTTTAAAAAAAACAACACAACATACAGAAAACCTTTTTGTGAAAGGGAAGTGTAAACAGTTATTGCTTCTTTTAAGAGTCTGATGTTCCTGTTTTCTTCTGGAAAGTAGTTTCTAGTACCTGGAGCAAAGTAAATATTTAACAACTTTACCACAGAACCTCACATGTATTAAATTACTTGAATAAAAGTTGGAGTTAATGTTAGAGAGATAAAACATTATGTTTTGATGTTGGGGTTTATCCCCGGCCAACAACTAAGCCCCACATAGCTACTTACTCCCTGCAGTGGAATGGGGGAGAAAATTGGAGGAGTAAAAATGAGAAAACTTGCTGAGATAAAGACAGTTAATTAGGTAAAGCAAAAGGCATGCATGCAAGCAAAGCAAAACAGGGAATTCATTGACCACTTCCCCTGGGCAGGCAGGTGTTCAGCCATCCCCAGGAAAGCAGAGCTCTCTCACACATAGCCATTACTTGGGAAGACAAATGCCATCACATCGAATATCCCTCCTCTTCCTCCTTCTTCACCCAGCTTTATATACAGAGCATGATGCCATATGGTATGGAATATCTCTTGGGCCAGTTGGGAGCAGCAGTTTTTGTGCATCTCCAGCCTGCTCACTGGTGGGATGGTGTGAGAAGCAGAAAAGACCTTGGCTCTGTGCAAGCACTGCTCAGCAATAATGAAAACATTCCCAATTTACCAGCACTGCTTCCAGCAAAAATCCAAACGACAGCCCCACACCAGCTACTGTGAAGAAAATTAACTCTGTCCCAGCCAAAACCCGCACATTCGGGCAAACTAATATGAAGGATTCCACAAAGGAGAACATAGGTCTGGGCTGAGAAGTACAAAAAATAGTGCTGAATGTACTACAAAAACAGAAATATCAAAAAGGGATTTCATGAGTCTAAATGTTGTATTTCACCACTTTTGCCATCTTCAGATGAGGGAAGAGCTGTTGGACCAGCGATGAGAATTGGCAATGGCTTATTCTGTTGGTGTTGTATTTCTGGTGATAGGCTGAGAGTGTGAGTGTAGATAAGAGTGCTTTCCTAATAGGTTCAATGAAGATTTTGTAGTACCAATAAAATTTCTGTACAATATGAGCTTTTGTAGTATATGGACAGTTCAGTCAGAAAAATTTTGCCAAGGTACTTGTCTTTAATGACCAAGAGGTTCAGGTAAGTGTTGAGAAAATTATTTATAAGTATGCTGGGAGAAGATGACTTCAAAATAATGATAGAACTTCCTGAGCAGTAATGGTACGCTTTGGTGGTAGTATTGCCAACAGTAAGCTGCCAGAGGAGATGAAGAGCAGAGGAAAGTAAAATAAACAAATTTCTTTTCGATTGATTAAAAACTGCTTAAAACTGTCAGACAAAGCTGAGGAGCAAAACATTTGTGTCTTTTAACTCTAGTGAGATCCAGGAGCAAGTCATTATTGAAATCTCACGGCTGCTAAGGACCATTTTATTTTTCTTTCTTCAGCCTTACAGTTATTAAGGATGGATTATGGACCAGATGCAAGAAAACTGTATGATGGCTCAGCTTTTAAATAGATAAATGCCCTCTGAAGCTTGGCAATTTTGTTAGCTATTATTTTTGAGTAGTTCTATGCTTGTCCAAATGAGGTGGTGGAGAGAGTAAGGCAGCTCAGGGATACTGAGTGCTAGTTCATCCAGAGAAATTCCAAGTGTATTAAAATGAACATTTCCTTTGTATTTGTGTTTACAGGAGAAAAAACAGGAGACGAAAATGTTACAGAGTCAGTATAACAGCCATCCTTATAAGAATGCAAAATTTTCAGGAAATACAGAATCTAGAAGTTTTTACAGTTATTGCCTCCTGGCAGGGAGTCATGCTTGGTGAAGTTCAAGAAAAAATGTGTGAGACAAGTGTACCCTGCAGCAGATAACAGTAAGGTCAAAAGGGAAATGAGAATAATAGTAGAACTCAGAAATGGGGTGGAATGCTGTGTTTGTGACTTGAAGAGCCTTTTTTAAGTCAGAATGGATGGTCTCCTGTTTTCAACATTCCTAATAACCTAATTCAGTGCCCTACAATTCTTGATGAAAGAAAGATATGAAATACATCTTCAGGGTCAGCATGCAGAAAGAATAACAAGACTTGTGCTTACAGATGATGGTTTGAATTAAAATAAATATTGGAGTTGGTAGAGATTAGATGACAAGCCTTGTACCTCCTCTCTCTCATGGTGTAAGGGAAAAAATGTGTTTGGTTTTTTTTTTTATTTTCTGTATAATAAAAATGAGTATAAATGGATTAGGAAGCCAGATGAGACAGCTGAGACATATTTTGACTTTTTACGTTACGTGAACCAGGAGATCTGATGAAGCAACGTATCTCTTGGGCAAGCAAGGGCAGCAATTTTCAATCACTAGCTATTTGTGTAAAATAAATAAAATAGAAGAATTAAAGTGAATCACATTGCCAGCTGAGAAGCATGAACTTTATTTTTTTCTTGTCTTTTAAAAAAACTCAGTTTCTTACAAAAGTTTTCAGACATTAGGTCTTGCTGGCCTTTGCTAGAACTCTAAATCGAAGTCAGTTTTGAATAAAGGTAGACTTAACATTGAATCTTCTTGTGATACTTAACCTTGTAAGTTGGTTGTTAAGAGCAGTTACTTAGAAGGACTTTAAGAATTAAATCGGTATTGTGAATGTAGATATCTGAGATACATACTTTAGAGGTACTAAAGGTGAAGGTGATTTGCAAAACGGATCAATCTAATCACAAATGGGTAGTGTTTAGAGTGAGTTGATACTAGCCACCGTTTAGCAACAAATTATTTATCGATATTGGTTTGGATTGCCTATAAATTATAAAACTTCAAAAAGAGCAACATTAGCTCTTTGACCTAGCATTAGTTCTTTGTAGTTTGTTTAAATTCAAGCCTTAAGTGGCATCTCCATTTCCATTCACAAACAGAGGAAACCAGAAAAACCATACAGTGTGTGAGGAGCATCAATACTTAAATGAATGTTTATTTATGGAAGCTAGGGAAAAAAAGCAGCAAGCCCTATCAGTGCTTTCATTATTAAAGTAAAATCTTCCAAACTGCCATATAAAGGAGTTGCTTGGGAAAAACCTCTGGTGTAGAGGTAGTGTGTGTAAGAGAAATACTGTGATTTAACAGACTTAAGAAGAGCTAAGCAGATGTTGGTAAGATACATAACACAAGAACAAAGACATCAACTAGCAAAGAAGTTACTTTTTTCCTCACTGCAGAAATTGGCTTTCGTGTAGTACACAATGTTTAGAAACATTAGTCTTTGAAATCTCTCTGTGGAGAGAATTTTCTTAGTCTTTTTTTTTTAACAGTGTTAATTCCCAACATTGTTGTAACTTATAAGAATCTGGAACGAATGTTAATTTTGGGATATGAGCTTGATGCTTTTGTGAATAATTCAAAATGCTAACTCTGTTGTGCAGCTTGAGCTTGTGGTGGTTAAAATTGAATTGCAATCCAAGTGGGCAGTTTGCGTGTGCAATCTGTAAATGTGTAAATGATTTCGGCAACCATAATAATAAGGTAGACTGTGACTGAAATACCTTTTGAATTAAGTCTTAGCAGTTAGTAATCCGGAAATGCACGTATCAAGATTGGTCGTACTACTCAAAGCTTTCAGAAATGTGACTCCAAATGCATTTTTCTTCACCTGCTATGGGCATATTCATATTAATATTCAAACTGGCATAATTTTTCAGTTTTGTCTCTACACTATTTAGCAGTGTCCTTTGTTTTCTCTTTTGTTACATTGCCTTATGGACTGGGTATTAATCTCTCTCTCTCTCTCAAAGGCTAGTTGCCCAGAGTTGAAGCAGTATTATCTTCAAAACCAAGCACTATGAAGCTGAAGGTGTGGTTTAGGTGTTCTTAAAAGTTTTAAAAGAAGGAGGGTATGCTACTATAAAGGACATGCATTATGTAGTCTTATCCTGCCCCAGGATGCTATGGTAGACAGTGTTAATGGGAACTGAGATACCCAATATCCCTTTTTTTCATTATCTTCCTCCTATAGCTGAGTTAAACTCAGAGAAAGGTGTATTTCCTTTCATTAGTAGTTACTAGCACTTGCCTAAAAGGCTAGACATAATTATAATGAGTAAAATTCTTAAAATTTTTGGGTTTCTTTTCCTCAGTTCATTATGGTAATGGCTATTTTGTTATTCCCACAGCTGTGGGAATGCAGCAGTGATGGGTAAAGTGCTGATATCACAGCAGGATGTTACATTTGGAAATGCACACCACCAAATAGCAATAACTGGGTATTGCTTTTATACAGCATCTTTAACAAAAAAAATCTACCTCTTTTTCTGATTTCTGCTGTCTACACTGAGTCATCTCTCTTTGGAATTGGATAATTAGTGCTTTTCTGCCCTTGGTGGGGAAGGAACTGACAGTGTAGCTCTGTCCTGTCCTCTCCTCTCCCTGGGACAGCAGGAAGGAGTTTGAAGATGCCATAGGAGAGGCACGGGTTCCTCACCCTAGTGAAGTTAGAGCAAGGAGGCCAATAAGAACATTGATCTTCTCTCTTCAATAACTTTTCTGCTCCTGTGTTTTTGGAAAAAAGGCTGTATTTGATAGTGGTATTATTATTACTATTGCAGTTCATGTTGCTCAGTTGTTACTTTGTTATTGACAGCAGAAGACTTTTACAGAAAGTGCTGTTAGAAGGAATAAAGAGTTCTAACTTGAGTCTCCTGCCAAATGTCAGGAGTTCAGTGGCTAGTAGCAGCAGTTATTAATACCATTTCCTTTGGATAGTGCAACTTGTTAAATAGATATTTTCATTAGTCATTTACTAGTTAGAAAGACTCATGATACTTAGACTTTTCAGGTAAAATCAGGAATAGCTCTTACACCACGGAACACTAATGTCCATCCCTAACAGAATAACCTTCTGGCTCTGTTCTGATCAGTGCAGACAGCACAAATGCCAGCAAAAAGCCTAGTGCTGGAACCCACCTGACCTAGAAGTACACTGTACTTGCACAAGAGTCCTCAGGGGACAGGAGGAAGAGAGGATCCCCTCCAGTTAAAAGAGCAGTAGAGCTGCCGCTGTGAAAAATCATCTCATTGTAAATTCCTCTGGTTTTGGACTTCATACTGTCAGTTAAATGTCTGTACTGCCAGCTTCTGTCATGCGCAGTAGCAAACTGCTGGGATACTCTGGGTGGTCCTTACTTAATCCTTGGGTCTGAAAGAGCTGTGTTATGAATAAAACACAGGGACTCAGTTGAGCTTTATTTGGAGCTGTGCTTTTAGTGCATTTTTAGTCTTGTCAAGTTTGTGGCCATAGTGTTTGCATATATTATACACATATAACACATACAGAATATATAATCATATAGCATATAGTGTAGTTCTCACTCTTCTTCACTTGTTTTTCCGTGGTATACAGAAATATCTTTCTGATTGAAAAGAATTTTTTCAAATGACAAAAGAAAATGGAAATCAAAGTGTGCTTGAGCTGGCTTAGTCATTGCATTGTTAGGTTTCAGGCTGACCACTGTGCCACACAATGAAATTTTATGTGTATTTCTGGTCTTGCATATTAATACAGGAAGTTGATATGCCATTTCATTGTAAAAATAAGCTTCACTTTAGCATGGTGATACAGAGAATATAGTCATGAGAGTGAAGTATGGGCTGTTCCTTGGTTTCTGATAATCTGCCTCATGACCCTCAAAAATGTCAGTATTGCAACATCAAGCATGGACCTTTCCAGTATGTGGTGCAGGCTAATAACTGGAAGATTGAAGACTGCAATTTTAGAAATAAAGCAAAATTCCATACTTGCTAATATTGCTAATTAACAAGAGGTTAATATGTGTACATCTGCTTTAATTTATAATGCTTAAGTCATCTGTATCGGCTTTTGTTTCATGTTTTGTTTCAGACATCTTTTGTGTTTTTTTCTTATCCATCTTTAATTCTAGAACAACCAGAGAATGGTAATGATGCTACTGAATTGGGCAACTTTATCATACCTGAGATTAGTGTCACAAGTGTGGCTGGAGAGAGGACCGGGAATGGGGAAAAGAGCAGAGCACTAGCAGAGAATGATGTTCAGCATTTACAGGGAGTACAGGAAACAGCTACAGATCCTAGAACTGACAGCAAAGGCATGCCAGAAATCAGGAGGCAAAAATCTGTAAGAAAAATGATGGAGGATGGAATAAACTCATCTGGCAGAGTGCAGTTTTAGCAGAGCACTTGTAGCTGCACTCTAAGGTACCGCTGTTGATTGAAAGGGTCACTGCTGCATGTTTCAAGAATTAAAGTATGCAGTTAATGTATTTGCATGTGTAATAACACAATTGCATGTGTTGCACACAGCTTCGTCTGTGCCACAGACAGTGATGATATACTTACAAGTAGATTTACTTAATCTGGAGAAAATACACTGAGACTCAACCTACCTTTGAATTTATTAAACATATATACAGAGTTTACAAAATCCAGTGATCAATGGTACAAAAAATCCATAGAAATGGATGTCAGAAGTATTTGCCGTGTACCTTAGACTTCCCAAATTCAACCTTTCATGGTGTACTGGAGATCTCAACACTGTGCTTGAGTTTCAAACTCATACTACCAGACCTGTGATGCAGAAAGTGACCTTTCAGTCCTAAAGCATTCTTGGGTTGCTAAACTTGCAGGTACCATAATGGGTGTCCTGGGGCATTGATCACATACCTCTGTAATTAACAAGCTTTGCCAAATCATGTAATGGATCACTTGCTGAAAATAAGATTTACACATTTTTTCGTTCCGTGTGGTACCTTCTAGTCTCTAAGTTTCTAACTTCCTGCATGAATTAACAAGTCCGCATTTCTTTTTTTTTTTTTTTCCTAAAATCACAAGAAAACGAGGTTGGGGGCATGCTTTTGTGGCATTATTTGCTGTAACTCTAATCCTAATGAACCTTAATTCCAAAATGTCATGGAATAGGTAAGTGTTTTGTCTTCTGTTCTCTGCTCTATTGCTTTATGGCTTCACGCTTGTAAATATCAAAATTGAGCAATACGTAAAATCAATAAATGTGAGAAAGTGAATTGCTAATTCTTTATTTCTGTTTCTACCATGCAGGTAATTCTGATTTAGGAATTCAAGAAGAACTAATAGAGGTATCTGAAACTGATGAAGGGTTTTACTCTAGGGCTACTTCTAGTGCAAGTCAGTCCGCCCTGTCTAACAGCAGCAACACGAGCAGCAAGAACCTTCTAGGGAAGAGCCAGCGAAGGTCTGGAGGAATCAAAGCTGGAGGAAAAGAAAAAGAAGGAGAAACCTGTAGAGAACACTTGTCACGAAAACAAACTCAGAGAGCCATGAGTGAGAATCTAGAACTTGTCTCTCTGAAGAGACTGACACTGACAACTAGCCAGTCCCTGCCTAAGCCTGGCAGTCACAGTCTGGCCAGAACGACCACTACTGTGTTTAGTAAATCCTTTGAACAGGTCAGTGGTGTCACAGTTCCAAATAATCACGGTGGTGTCTCTGGTACAGAGGCAAACAGGTTTTCAGCTTGCAGTCTTCAAGAGGAAAAACTGATATATGGAACAGAAAGAACAGATCTTCCGATTTTAAGCAAACCACCTAATCAGCAGAGACCTCCAAGTATTAGCATAACTTTGTCAACAGATTGATATTGGGCATTATGAAAAGTAAATTATTGAGGATTTGTCCTGATATTGGTATATTAAACTCCTTAATATGCTATACGTTACTTCCTTAAACCCCAAGCTTGTAAATTCTTGTTTGGCTCACATTTGACAGTAATAGTGAATAGACAACAGTTGCAATTATTTTTGAGTCAACTTCTGATAGCTTGGAAAGTGTACTCTTTTTACAGCTTCATGAGAAGTTTACACCTTCCCCAATTGAACAAGCATTAATTGGTTGTTTGGCCACTGATGAGGGTATGTGGCTTCTTACGGATGTGTAGTGTGGGAACAAATAGAGCCTCTCTCCCAGATTTTGCTTTTTCACTACCCTTAGCATAGGCAAAACTGCAAGTACTTCTTTTTTTTTGGGGGGGAGGAGTCTTGCAGTATTGTCATGAAGTTTTGGAACAGCACCATAAGAACAAACAGTCTCTTACATTAGCCGTGAGAAAGCTGTGCTTACATGTAAGGTTAAAACTAGAAGCATCACTACAGCGTTTGATGTCGTGGTTGGTTTTGTAATGGTGGTTAGTACACGTTGCAGTGTTCATACTTCTTTATGCCTATATGAGTCCAATTTATAGATGCATTTTGATTTTCCTATATGTCTTCAAAACTGGGCCAAATGTCATACAGCAACAGTGCTTCTGGATGGGAGTTATTATCACTTGCTATAGTAGTCAATCTTTAATCTTAAAAATTATGTGATAGACTCTGTCTTTCTTTAGGATTCTTAAATATCAGTTGCAAAGCCACTCATTGAAAAGTCTGTCATCAGTATTTTTATTATTTGTGGGGAAGAGATGTGCTTGTGTATCAATGTTATGTAGGAAATATGAGCCCTTCGCACTGACTCAAGCAAATCAGGAGTGTGAATGTGTTTAACATGAACTTTGTACTTGAGCCTAAGAGAATACTACCAAAGGATATGTACTTTCAGTAACTTGCAAGCACAAAGGGAAATTATAATGTAAATATAACTAACACTGTAATTCCTAGTCTTTTGTATCTATTATTTTTCTAGTTTGAAATTCTAAACCAGCAGCCTGTTTAAGGTTACCTAACCCTTAACCTTCAATGAGTTTGTTTGATACTAACTTCTATAATGTCAGGATTTTAATTAAAAAAGAACATTAAAACTTCTTATGCAGAAATTTGAAGAAGCAGTAGCTGACAAAACCACTCCAGGAGCAATGATTGGCTGATAAACGGACAGTGTATTATTATGAGTGGAGAAATAGGATGAAGATCTAAGGCATAGTCACGCCCAACTGTCCAGATTTCTGCAGCTGTTAATCTATTATTGTCAAGAACCTTGTAAGAAAACAATCACTAAAATTCTGGTAGACTTTCCCATTTGCCTAGAAATAAATTTAGATATTCCTTTATGACTTAAACTGAAGCACAAATAACTTTTAAGCAGCTAATGTTATTCAGGTTTATAGCAATTAATAAGCTGGCTAATTAGTGAAAAGTGATGAGACATAGTTGATAGAGACAAGTTATATAATTGTGATACTAAGACTGCAAACTAGATGTGTCCCTTCCTTAAGATTCACCAAAGTATGCAGAATAACTCCATCAGTCTGTAGGTGTTTGTGTTCACCTGAGAGCCTGAGCTTAAAGGAATATGCCACACTTTTTCATTCTTCAGTTTGTTGTGTGACACTGTTCTATTCTAGTAGCATAGTATTTCACCTTTTTACAGTAAAATGTTTTCTTAATTGTACATGAAAACTTAATTCCTAATGTATAAACTATAAATTTGCCCTGTTAATTTTTTAATACTTTGGCCAGTGAAAGAAACTGGTTCTTTGAGGTTGTATACTTTTGTAAATGCTTTGTACAGCAGAAAATTTTGCCTCTTTTTTAAATTTTTTTCTTCACTATACATTAGCATGTTTGTTTCAGATTGGCTAGTACATGTGGCTACTGAAGCAGGCATAACCACGAGCAACAGAAGGGTGTTGGGCAGCTGATAGTAGGCATTGGCTAGTACTACACACACTGGATGTAGAGCTCTTCCTTCCCCTGAAATTTGTTATAAATGTTACAAAGAAATAACCTGCAGATCTCACAGCAGCCTCCTGATCTACTTTTGCAGTGTAGGACCTGACAATACTTTGGGAAAATTTTGCACTAATTTAAATTGAGACATAAACTAGAATAGATAAGTAAAATTGCAATAGACAAATATTTATTGTGATGGTATTAGTTGTGAGTTAGTGTTAAGGGACTTGAATTTTTAACTAATTTTACTGGGTTTGGTTTGTTTCATTTAATTCATGATTGTCTACCGTGGAGGTAACAATCTTTCAAGCTGGGTGTTGGTATAAAAGATATTTGTTATACTGGGAAGATTTAGTCTCTTTAGCTCTAAATAATTAGGATTTTGAAGGATCTAAAATGCCATACGATGTAGGTGTGTAACATGATGTTTACAATACTGTTGGCTACAAGTCAAATGGTGTTAAAATAAAGGTAGTTTATTCTTTTATTTTATCCAGCTGATCTGGCTTGAACCCAAGATATAGGCTCAAATTGGTACAACTGAAATAACATAAAACTTCATACTTTTTTTAGGAAATGGTAAAAGGAAAGGTTCTTGGTACTATGGGCTGCTCTTTCCATACATACGTGGCTTATGTAAATATGTATGTATTGGTTTCTAGAGCAGTTTACACAGTGAGCATGTTTTTGTGAGCTGACATCACACCTTGATACTGATTGAGTCAGAAGAATTTATTTCCTGATATGAGTACCAAAACTTTCAGTTGTGCTTCTTTCTTTTCTTAAAAATGGAAAAGATAAAAAAAGACAGGACTGGGGAGCGGGATGGGGGAAAGTAGGGCAGGAAACAGATATTTCTAAATAAATCTCTCTTTTCATGATATTTCTAAAATTGTCAAACTCTGGGGGTTTGGGCATTATCTGAGCACTTCAGACTGTTATATGGAAAATGTATGTTAAAAAAGTAGATGTCTTCTAACAGCATAAGGAAAACCTATTAAGACTACCCATATTATAGTCTGCCTGGGAGTGGGTAGTTCTGATGAATACCTTCCGAGCATACACAGCTGCAACATCCTGCAGGAAAAATGTTATGTAGGAGTGAATCATCTCAGATGGTAATAAGAGAAGTTGTTTCAATGCTGACGTTCATGACTGACCTTACTGTTTTAAATCGGAGAACACTGTTTCCAAGGCTTTGAACAGCAACACTTCCAAAACTCTGTTGAAACTGAGGAGAATTATTTTTGTTGTGAGAATCTGTAACATTCGTGCACAAAGTGTATGGCCTCTAACCACTTCTTGTAGAGCTGCAGTGACTTTTCTGAATTGATTGAAATGTCTTGAATTGCCTTCATTACCTAACAAATTTGAAAGGTACCGAAATATATAGCTATTTTAGACACATTTCTCTGTAAGGAGGTTTCCTATGAGGATTCTAGAAATTTCTAACTTAATTGTCTAATACCTTTTGTCAGTGTTTGTGGCTTACAGTGCTGTATATAGGTGTGTAATATATTGCCTTTTGTATTTGTATAATTCTACTTCCAAGACTAGATGTGTACATTTCCTAATATTCACTGAAGTCTGTGGAATATCTGCCTCAGTCTATAGATGTCTGTCTTCACACGAGAACCTGAATTTAAATTACTGCCACACTTTGTCTCATTCTTCAGCTCATTATGTGACACTGTTCTTTGTTTTAGTAACACACCATTTCACCTTTTTTGCAGTGTTCTCTTACACTGAAAACTTACATTCCTAATGTATAAAATATGAGGTTGTCTTTTAGTGTTTAATAATTTTGGCAGTAAAATAAATTGGTTTTTTTGAAGCTGTATACTTATGTATGTACTTTGTACAGCAGAAAATTTTGTGTCTTTACAGGCTTGGATGAATATATGTTACATAGCAATGTATTTGTACACTTTTCATTACACACATCTAGAAGTCACAGTAAGGTTGACTGCATTACTTAAAATATGCTTAATACCCATTTTACAGAATGTAGGCTCTGCAAATGCAGCCTTCTCAGGTACGACACTATGGCTGAGAAACACTGACAGGTGAAGGGTGAATTCAAGCAAATGAGTAGTCAATCTCCAGAAGCAGATGACGATCCTGTCAATAATGTAGCACTACTTGGGCAACTTGATAGTTTTGGTGGTCTTAATATAACAGTGGTTTGATACACAGCCATTATCTGCAATGTGTCTTTTTAACTAGATTTTTTTATGCTGCAGTCATCACTGTGTTTGTGACCTGATGGTGATCTGGAGGCTGTTGGCTGTCTTTGCTGCAGGGATGGGTGTGGCTGGCTCATGTTCCCCTTTTTCATGGAGACCCCCAGGGTTGCTTCTGTCTGGCCCCTGTGTGTGCTGGGTTTTTTTTCCCAGGAGCAGGACTTGGCAGTCTCTGTTAAACTTCCTGTGATCCACATGTTTGCTCACACCTCCTGCCCATTGGTGTCCCTGTGAATGGCAACACATCCGTCTGGGCTATCAGCCTCTCCTCCTGGTCAAACACACTTAGGGTGAGCTCTGTCCCATCATTCATCTTCATTAACAAAGATGTTAAATCGTCCTGCCCTGGGTATTGACCCCTGGAGTTCACCAGTAAGGCCAGGTGTCCAACTGGGCTTTGTGTACTGGTGACAGCCCTTTGATCCTGGCACTTGAGGCAGTTTTCTGAGATCCAGGGTTCCTGGGGGCTGCTCTTGGTGGTAACAACAGAAGCAAAGGTGTTCTTTTCCATATCTCCTCTCAGCAGGTCCTCTGCCCCACTCAGCTGCGGAACCTTATTTTTCCCTAGTCTTCCTGTTGCTGATGGTGTCTCTGCTAAAGCTTTTTTTGTTACCCTTCACCTCCTTGCCAGATTCCACTCTGGGACTTTCCTAACCCCATCTGTGCATGTGTGGATGGTGCATCTCCCTAGGTTCCCTGCTCTTGCTTCTACCTCTTCGATGCTGTTTTTTCATGTTTAGTCAAGATCTTCTTGTTTGTGCATTCATGCCTCCTGCCAGCTCTGTTTGGTTTTGTGTATGTAGCTATAGACCATTCTTGAACCTGGAGGAGATGGTTCTTGAACATCCACCAGCTCTTCTAGCTCTTCTTTCTAGTGTGGTCTCCCATGGGCATCTACAGAGCAGATTCCTGTGCAAGGCAAGTTCTGCTGTGTTGGTCCAGGGTCATGATCCTGCATTTTGTTTGAGGTTTTTTTTCTTTCCCCTTATAAATGCTGTCTCTGGTGCAATGCTGTAGAAAAACCTGGATGAATGGAAAAGCTCTAGTAGATGGCAGCAGTTGGAGATCCCACTGTGCATAGTTCCACTTTTTTCAAATGTCAGTCTTTAGCCTTTTGTTTTGAATAGGCAAAACTCAATTTCCTTTCATCTAAACGGGTGAGAAAGGAAATCTGCTTTTGAACATTGAAGAGGGTAAAAGTTTTCCTTTGCTAAAGGTACAAATTAGACTTGATGCTGTGATTGTCCTATGAATGTGTAGGATTTGCAATTTCAGTTACAGTGAGTGAAAGGCAGAGCTTAGATTGGGCTTTTGCGTCATTTCAGGCTGGAATACCTATTGATCAGTGAAATACAACATGAATTCGAATACCTCTTCTCTTCCTAAAATGTGGTACTCCAAAGTGCAGCCCTTACTTGGAGGCTGAGACTAGCTGAGAGCCTGCTGGACAATTGATAGGGAGAGGGATGTGTGAAGGTATTACAGGCAATTAGTAACCAGTTATAAAAATTACATTTGTTCCTACAGACTTCACAGCTGGTTGCCTGCATTGAGCTTATAATAATTATTTTTCATGTTTTATGTTAATCTAGCTCTGTATTAAAGATGACTTCAGTGTGGGAGTTTTCTCCCAACTCACAGCTGCCAGATAATAAATACATCTGCTAATTCAGGATAGTGGGAAGAATGTCACCGTGACTCTAGAAACCTTTGTGCAACAAGCCTTCACATCGTACTGTGCTTGCTTCATTAACTTGATTCCTAAAATAAGGTTGTGTTTAATCATCTGTTACTCTACATGTGCTGGGACAATTCAGAAATTTAATGGTGCGGAAAGACTTGTGGAAGTCAGTCTGAGTCACACCGCACTCCTGACAAGCTGCCTAGTTGTTGTTCTCATCACTAGTGCTGACTAATACTGGCAGTCCTCTGCATAGCTTCTTGGTCTGGAGTGTGATGGTAGGTTTTATTACTGTGAGAGGGCACATTTCAGAGGAGGTGAGAAGAAATACCCGGTTTTCCCTCCACAACACAACAAAGTTAATGAAGATGTGTCAGCTATTGACATAAGAAGTCCATGGTGTGAATATGATTTTCCAGTGTTTATGCAGGACAAATAGTGAACCAGAACAAGGCCAACCAGTGCTTTTTCTGAAAAGATACTCTCTTCATGCATGAATATCATAGAATCACAGAATGGTTTGGTTTGGAAAGAATCTTAAAGATGATCTGGTTCCAAGCCCCCTGCCATGGGCCCAGATTCCACCCTCTACACAAGGTTCAGAGTCCTGTCCAACCTGGCCTTGAACACTTTCAGGGATGGGGCATCCACACGTCTGAGCAATCTGTTCCGGTGCCTCACCACTCTCACAGTTAAGAACTTTTTCCTAATATCTAATCTAAACCTGATCTCTTAGTTTGCAGCCATTCCCCCTCCTCCTGTTGCTATATGCTCTTATAAATCATCTTTGATTTCGTTGAATCATTGAATATCATATTTGATGCCTATCAAAGTAGGAACAGAGCAGTGACTCATTTAAAACATACACATAAAAACATATCTGTTATGTATGTGTGTATATATACATTTTTACACAAATATACGCATATATGTTCTCCTCTTCAGCTAGCTGGGTATGGAGATTGTAGAACTCTCCGTAAGACTGCTGGAGCTGGCAAAGGTTTGGACCAGCAATGATGTCGATGGCCTAAGGTACCATCTAAAGTAGATGTAGCTAGGCACTGAAAAGTTGTGTTGGCACTGGTGTATTTTCCTTGTGGTATTATCTGCCAAGAGTAAATTGATTTGAATATAAATTATAAAGGTTCTTGCACTTCTTAAATATTTTTTTTTAAAGAAGTCATAATACTCATATTTTCTCATTTGCTTTTTTACTCTTTAAAATGCACTGTTTTCATTATTGTTAATAGCCTGCAGTTCAGACTTTGCTAAAAATTGGGAGTGAATTGGGATAGTATTAAATACGATAACATTTTGTAGCCAACTGGCATACCAAATGTCATCTTTCAGCAGACTGTCCTGCCCCTAAAATGTTGGTGTTTAAGAAATCTGCTATAATAAATCACAAAGGGGAAATACTTTCACAAGGTAACAACATTAATATTTCCTAGGAAATTATTTACTGTTTAGTTCATTGGGATTTATATTCTTCATTTTAGTCATTAGAGAAAACCAATCCAACTGTTATTTAGTGAAACTTAATTTCAGCTCTCCCTGTATTGACTGAAGAAAGATACAGGCACTGTCATACCTATTCAGGGCCTTCTGAGCTAGGGAGATCCTTTTGCACACTCACAGAGTGTTCATCCTGTCTCTTACTTCCCCTTATCCTGAACAACTGGCTTAGTGTTGCTGCCTTCTTACTGATTCCGACTGAATTGAATCCATACATTCCCCTTCTTGCTGCATTAAGCCAAAAGAAGCTTTAGCATAGCAGCAGTGGCTTCAGCAGAGCTCTGAATGTCAGCAGCTGTCTTCTTTGCTAAAGGCCTTACAAGCAGGCAGATGTCTAGGGAGAATAGCTCTGGTTTAGTAGTTCTCTGGCCAGGCTGTAAAAATCAGCTTATAATGATGTGGACAGGTGCTGGGATTTAAGATTCCAACTGCATCTGTTCAGATTATTTGACTAATCATGAAGTAGTTGCATTTTTAAATGTCTAAAGCAGGGAAGAAGGAAAGAACTGGAGCACGAATTTCTATAGCATTCCTGTGTCTACTATTCTTGCTTCATGATCCCACTTAAAAGTATGTAATAACTTTACCAGCTTTTGAATTTTACAGAGGAATAGCAGCAAGGCTGATAAAGCTTCCGTACAACTGGATGATACCTGTTCAGCTCTAGCTGAGTCCTCTGACAAATCTTGGTTCTTAACCATTTGAGTTGGGAAAGAGCTCCTTGACTGCCTCCATTCTGTGTCAAATTCATAACTTTAAGCTTCTTTGGTTATCTGTGAGAACTTGCTTTTTCCTGCTATCAGCGTAGGAAGGCATGCTACAAAAACATTGCCCTTGAATGCAGCATGAACCTGAATGTGTTTCAGGTGTTCAAGGCTCAGTGAAGGACTGAGGAGAGATTTTCATCACTTCTTTAGTCTTTGCCCAAGACAAGCTTCCTGACACCATCAGGTGTGTTAAAATGCTGCCAGCCCAGTGCTGAGGTGTTCATGTGGCAGCCAGTTCTGCGTGCAGCCATGGGAGTGAGGACAGAGGCCAGTGCAATCCAGCTTCTAAGTGGATTAATTCCCTGCTTTGACATCATGACCCAAAATAAAACGTACTCATGGACAAATAACTTGAAGAAATTACCAAGTAATGTATTTCTCCAAGATCCACAGTGTATGACCTGTCTTTATTGTAAAGCCTGGCATATGTGATATATACTGCAGCACAATATGTGTGCCCTATTCTCGATGAATGGCAGTGTGGTTTTGCACCTTCGGAGCAGTATTGAATAAAAACCCATGATGTTTGGGAGCACAGGGAGTTTTGACACATTCTGGGAATGTGAGATGAGTAACTCCTTAAATCCACAAAGAAAATTAGTTAGTAGGTAGATCTACTTATGAGGTACTTGAT